CAGCTAATGGGTGATATCCAAAGATAATCAGTACAATTCAAGTGTAAAGTTTTTGTTGTGCAGGATTTGACTAAAGATAGATCAGATAGATTTTTTCACGCCACTCATGACCACAAGAGAATCAACAGAGGAGAGTGCACAAAATTGTTGCGAAAAGTTAGTGCCGCTGCCTTTGCATCATCGCACCCTATCTCCGTCGTCGCGGATTTGCTCGCGCCTGCGGTGCACAAAAACGATCCTTATTCCCCTGAAAATAAAGTATTCGCTCCGAAAACACCCACAACTCAGCCTTTAAAGGTACGTGGCAGATTGTCGATGGTTCTTTGTGAACACATAAGCTATGGCAGCTTTTTTGAGCAACACGACCTGCATTGGTGCAATAGTAAAATGCTGGTAAGTATAAGCGTGGCGAAGTAAGTTAACATATTCGGACAATAACGGTCTCATATCGCAGCAAGTCATGCTTATGCATGTCTTCATGGTAGTCCAAAGGAGGTGAAAAAAATGCCGATACTATCCCATCGGCACACAGATATTGAAAACAGATTTGGAATTCGCCTTCAAAGCTCTTCAAAAACTAGAAGCCGTTGTAAAAACCCGGTGCCAGGAACGCTCTTTAAAAAATTCGAAACATCGGAAACAACCGCGAAAATGGATGAAAGAAAGAATTCTGCTCTAACAATGTACTTCATCAATCAATTTCGGTGAACGACGCTAAAGAATTCAAGAAGCGATAGAAGCAGGTAATAACAAATCTATTAAGCATGAGTTACACGCGGGACTTTGGGGACGAGCGAGTTCGGTTCGAGTCTTATCTCAACTTGCGTGATCCAACTTTATCTAATAGTGCTCATGAGTGCAAAAATAAATCTTACAACTACCTTGAGTGAAAATACAAGTTGAATTGACTGTAAAGGCAAAATGTCCACCTAGTGGTCCCGTAGTGCGGAGAACCTATAGTGCAATGAGTCGTGCAGAGAAAAGGCTAAACAATCAACAAAAGCAAAGAATGACGGCGGAAGTCTCTAGCTTCTATCCGTATACAGCAAATACTTAAACAACAGCGATTACCTTAATTTCACGCGTATAAGATGTATCTTTTTCGATTTTTGGGCGAGCCGCTCAGCCGCCTCTCTTTATCTCGGAAAACGAGACATATGCCGCACGATACTTCCAGACAATATACAGCACTGTATATAGTTTTTTGTTCGCGAAGTCCTTCGGCTTGTCTGTGCTGTTCGATGTTAGAAAAAAATCCCCCGCGTCCTATACGCGTGGAATTAGGGTACATAAACATAATACAAAGGCTAAGAAATAAAGAGATGAAACCTGTTCTCATAACAGCTGTCACGATCTTTTTGGTGATTCTCCGCATCATTGTAAAGATGGTGAATTGCGATGTTGCAATTAACAGCTCAGGGCACAGCAGAGGTGGCGCTTTTTACACGCTGGATGTCGTTTTTTGAAGGGAAAGCAAAGGGGAGCTCGTAAAATTTCCACCCGGAAACCTGACGAAAAATCAGAAAGCATAACTGTAACCAGGGTCAAGCGTGGGGTGCGGCACGCCACACCTGGGGGGTCGTATTGGGGAGTCAGAAGGGGAGGGGGTCGTAGTTGGGTGATCTGATAATAGAGATAACATGATATTCGTATCATGTCCATAACTAGCATTTCAATTAACCCCTGTAGACAAAGTGTGAGCGAATTCTGAAGATTCAATATACTAGGCTACCTAAATGAAATGGTCAAATTCCAACATGTTAACTTTGTTTCAAAGGTAAATTAGCTATTCGTTTTTGCACTCAAGACAAAGCACTACTCCTTCTTTGTCCATCTCAGGAATCTCGCTTCAGAAGATCTGCAAACTGTGGAATTAGAAGCCAACCAAAATCTCGTTTGTCCCATTTTTCGCTTTTGATCGCTGTGTTTTCACCAAATACTACTTAGAGCTAAGAAGACAAATTAGGCTCCAAACAGTCCTATGGAATCTACAAGGTTTAGGCTATCGATTCATATAAATACTGTTCGCTAAAAATGTTTTTTTGATATAGTTAATGGGGTGCGGCACACCCCCTTAAAAGCTGCGGCTGCCGCAGCTTTTGAGGGGGTGTGCCGCACCCCCTTAACTTGCCTTCAAAATCCAAAAAGCGCTCCATTGCTGGTATGAGTATTGAGCACATAACTTCTTCTTGCCACACTGGAAATTTGGAGCCGAACGCCCCACCCATAAGAAAGTTATGGCCCTTTCAATATGCCCATTCAGATCAAAATCAGCCGTCAAATTACGTGTGATTGTAAAGTGCAGTCGGAGAAAATCGGGCGTACAGCTCTCAGAAATCCGAAAACTCTTTAGAAAAAGATGGTGTCCTCCAGAATGTCACACTTTGAGGTGCAGAGGTTAGGAGGAGGAAGAAGGGGTCGTTTGAAGGCTTTCATGGAAGGGGGGGGGGGTTTCGAAAGACCTGTGCCTGACCTCTTTCTTTCTGGTAATGCCCATCTTAAGGTATATAGTTCAGGGGGGGGGTCTTATTAAGACAGCAATCAGGAGGGGGGGGGTCGTAACCAGCGACCGTGTGCCACACCCCTTGCTTGACCCTGACTGTAACTCTTAGCAAGCCCGAATTTGAGTTCTAACGTGATTATACCAGTTACAGGTAAATTAGCATGTTAGAAACACTACTAGTGCATGAACCTGTATGCACACGATTTCAACGTGTCAAAATACAATCTTTACCAACAAACAATCGCTTTGTTTGCAATGAGTTAGCAACACTAAGCCACCAAATTTTGTGTGTTCACCCACGGCGATCATTAAAAAAAGCATGAAAATTTATGAAAAAATCATGTGAACGAGAGAAGTTATAAGTGTTTTTCGATTTTAGATTGGTCCCGCGGAACCCGGGAGCACCCTGAGGTTGCGCGGATCCAGACAAAGTTATGAATCCTCAGAATTCTCCCCCTTCCTCACATAAATTTTCAAAATTTTGAATATGAATCAATTCTTCAGATCAAGCACCACCTATGAGTATCACCCTTACCCATGGTTCGTCCTCTATGCTTTTTACGGCTCTTGATATCACAAAAACACCTTTTTTTTCGCATTTCGCTAAAACTTGATTATTCCTGTCTTTTTTTCACTTTAATCCATTATTCTTTATTGCAGATTATTGTAGGAGCCTCTACAAATACTACAAGAGGTATCGTTATTTTCTGCAATACCAAGGGGGACTTCGTTTTTGAAATTCTCATATGCCACCTCGTGCTGGATCCTGTCAACAGCTTCAATTTTCCAGTTTTTACTGCGCGGAAATTTGGGTTCAATTCAAAAATGATAAAAAAAATTGAGAGAGCATATCAGATATTTCACAAATTTCTAGGAAGCCTGATCAAATGAAGAGGCAAGATTACTCTGAAAACTCAGTAAATCAATGCTTTGTCACTATCTATCGTGGTGCTACTTCTGAAACACGCTTTTTAGTCAGTCAAGTATGTGCACGGCTTAAGTGTGTTCGAGTGTTGCTTCTGGATCACAGCGTCTTCTCGTTTAAACTGCTTCTTAGTGATGTTGTTCGTTTGCTCGTTAATAGTGCTGTAGTGTTTATGGTTCTCGAGTGCTTTTGTAAGTACTTGTTCATATCAATACTAGCTCTCGCTTCGCTACACACTTTTTTTTGGTTCAACAACACTCCCAAGCGTACTTGTCCCATCAAATTTTTTTTCTTCTGTAGAATTTCCATTTAAAAACTGTCCGAGTGATTTTTTTCTGAAAAAAAAACGTGTCGTGAATCTTCCTGCGCTAATTATTCAGTTCGAATAACAAAAAATTCCAATATTAAGTAATGAAACAAAGAATTGTTCAAGATTGTTGCATTACACACAATCTTGAATTCAAACGAATAATGATCATAATCCAGACGAAAACTTGTCAAAAAGCTCATTTAAAAAACAAGTGACAAAGTCGAAAAAAAATCGTAGTGAAGAATGAACACTGGACTAATAGTAGGCTTTTCAGTAAACAACAACTTTAAATTTGTAGATTCTTGAACTCTCTTTGATTAGCATTACTTTTTCTATCCAGTCATCGGAAGTAGATAAGAATGTTTTGTTCTCTTCTAAACTGGTAAATAGAAATAGAAATAGAAGTAGAAATAGTAGTATACAAAAGCGTATAATGGGGTATTATACCAGTGTTTGCTAATGAACTTTGCAAAGGAACTATCTTAGCTGCGTTTCGTTTCTGCCCTTATACGGAGTGCAGGATCCGGGCTCTCCCCGGAACTCCTAATTGGGGAAAGAGAACCCGGGAGCTCCTGTTATTCTTATTTCAAAAGTTTTTGGTAAAAATTGCAAATATTGTCTTGTAGTGGATGAAATCTAAATTACATATTGATATGTAACAAATGATGGTGATAATAGCTATCAAAAAGAGTAAATTTTTTGGGATAAAGTGCTACATAGTTGCGTATTTTTCTAAGTAAATGTAGTCGTTGTTTGAGTCAAGTTGCAGTAAATTCTCCAAAGAACGATGAAAAAACTTTTGGAAGCAAACCAAGCATACTTACTAGGTACTCACGATGTTGAACTCAAATCTTTCACATATCTTTTCTTAATTGATTTTTGACTTCTTGATTTTCTAACTTACTTTCAGACATGTCGCTCATACTCACAGCTTCTTGGTTCTACCTAATCGCCACCCTGATTTCATTTCCTGTCTATTGTGCTGTTCTCTATGTTATCGTTTTGCATCGAAGACATAGAGCTTTTCGTAGTTCATTTTACGCTTTGACACTTTCAAATGTCAGTCACTTTGACTTACACTCAGATCGACAGAAAAGCAGCAAAATTTCCGCAAATTTCAGGGCATATTCGATCTCACCTCGGCTTTCTTTTTTGTGATAGTTGAATGTTTCCCACATTTTTCTTTCGCGAAGAAAATGTTTTGGAACAACCGCTCTACCTACTTGCCAGCATTTGGCCTGGGACTAACGTTCATGTTGCTCTACATCCGAATCTTCGGTATAATTTCCTTGGTGTGGGAGCGAACAGCCGGGACCTACTGTAATAACAAAGTATTCAATAGGGTAAGTTATATACAATTATTTCATAATTTTTTTTTCAAAATCACCAAAAAGGCCTCAAAAAACCCCAAAAATCGCTAGTTAGATTTACCTGAAAATTTTAAAAAGCAATGTGGTTTTTGAAATGACGAAAAGCGTCGAACCTTTCATTCCCATTGCACTCACCCAGCTCCAACGCTTTTCTTCTTGACCCAAACAAAAACTTTTCCCACGACTGTTTGTGACAGCTTTTCAGCTGACAAATCATCCTCTCTGCTGTTTATCAACAATTATACGATGGATGGCGTCGCTAATATTGGCATGGCCTATTTTTATACAAATGGACATCACCTATATTTTGGTGAATGAAGAGATTATGGTGTCGATTCCTGAACAGAATATAAGGGTGAGTGACATATCGCATGCACTATATTTCCAACTTAGGAAAAAAGTTCATGGAATCAACGAATGTACAGGAGCATGAACCAGTAGAATTGGATTTAGTGTTGGCATACAGTATAGGCGAGTTATTGCACACAGAGAAAGGGCGTTGTGGACGCTGTCGGCGTCTCTCTGGTCAAGCACACCCTCACCCCTCCTACCGTCTGCCGTCTCTTCCAAACACGAACATTCTTAGCCGGCCGCAACGGCATTCAGTCTGCGCGTGTGATGAATTTTGTATATGTGTGCGGAGTTTGGAGTCGAGGGGTGGAGATTGCCACTTCAAAATTTCCCCCACTCTTCTTGAAATAAAAATCACTTTTGTACACATGATGCTTAGATGTGCATTCGCCATATAATAACTTATACACCTTATGTATGCTTTGATTACTCAAATGATGCTACAGAAAGCGAGATTCATATCCTAAGAGCAGTTTTTAATTGAAACAAAGAGGTACTCTATGCTCGTAGAGGTGGTTCATGGTTTTCTTGCAGCTTGATGTCCCTCTCGCGGCTATCGTCATCGGTACAAGTGCAGTGATTTGTACAGCATGCTTCATACTCATACTATTGCGAATCATTGCAACCCCAGAAATAGTTAGGTGAGAATCACATTTTCAAAAATTACAATCAATTAGCTACGAAGAACATTTTATGTGACTAGGAACATCCGCGATGCAAAAAAAAAACTTGACGACGACGTGTACTTCCCATAATCAATGTAAAGACTAACTGCATGACGAAGGCGGAGAAGCAGTATTAATTGAGCGGGCGCAAACCGGCGCGCGCGTACCTTCACCGTTGTAAATCCTGCGCCTCATGCGCTCTGCGGCTAATAAACGCGTTCGCGCCCAAAGTTAATGCGCTTTCATCAAGTAGCAGCCTATAAAGCATAGTACCTGACGAAGAAAGATATGAAGTAAGCGCACGCGAAAGCCCGCGAGCGGTCTAGCCTCCACTATTTGCGTCCTATGCTCTCCAACAGTTAGTATGCGCACGATCACCGCATTTGCGCTCGCTCCGCAGCAAGAAATCAAAGTCTTCCTATAGGAATAACCTAAACATTCTTTTTTTTGGCTAACTGCTACACTACAATTTTCACATAGCCACATTTCCTGAGATATTTTTTTAGAGAGAAAAACTTGACTCTGCAGACATTGGGCATCTACACAGTTCTGATTGCAATGACCATACATTGTGGAGTGATACTCGTACAAAATAGCGAGGTGTCTTTACTCTCGGAGTTAACACATGAAATGTGCTATTTTAGTTCAATAACGCCACGATTGAGATGACAGGCTGGTTCTACTTCTACAACACGTTTCTGACATACATTCATCCATGGGTCCTAATTCTGTTCAACACGGAATTGAGGCAAAGACTATTTTCATTGGGTGAGAATTTTTTTCAACTGATTTTGGTGTTAAATCCTAAAACTACAGTTTCGCAGTATAGTTTATAGATTTAGCAGTCAGTCTAGTGCCCTGCGGCATCAACAACACTTGCGCTTAAAAAAATGGCCTCAGCACGCAGAAGTTATGAGGCTGCGTTCACGACAATTTTCCGCGCAAATGTTGTAGGCAACGTAGATAGTGAGCATTGCAAGCATCAATCCTAGATTTCTCTTTCTATGTTACGACTAGTAAACCAGTAATTGAAGGTGCTAGATTGCATCCGCGCGCTTCGACCGCACCGCGGTTCCACGCTATTGAAAAAAATTTTAAATTGTGCTAAACTTCCAAAATAGCTTCCCTCCCACTCCTTCTTCCACGACCCCTGTAAAATCCAATTCAGTATAGCAAGCATATACATCCAAGTTCCCCCACAATAAATTTTTCTCGTTATGGATGCAATTTTCTTTATGGCCACTTTTTCACCACGGCAATATCGGATCCCACAATTTCCTTTGCCTTGTCTGCGAGTTATTTACTTCGTCTACACGCATGAAATATGAACCATATATTGGCATACAGCCAAAAAAAGTTATTCTGCATGAAATTAAACAAGATTTTTCTGCTATGGAAAAGCTGCTTTTTATAAGTCTAAAATTTCTGTGCATAAAGAATAATAGCATGGCCCGATTTGGGCTCAGCCACGCCCACTTTTAAATACTCCTTCTCGTCCCGCCTCCCTCCCGTCTTCTTTGAACTACAGAAGTATCCTCTGATGGTCAATGTTTCTTCTTCCCACACACTCTCAAAAGACTAAACGCATGAGAAACCACCCCACTTCGGACTAGGCCTACGCCTACTTTTGTCCAATGCCCCACCCATCCTCTATAGGCAAAAAAATTTCCAGCTGTGTTGATTTTAAGTGATTTTTTAATCTAATAATCTCATATTCGTCACTCTAAAGTCTTCCATTTCAGTTTCGTCATCAACTATCGACGGAGAAAATGTCAAAACCATCCATATCACGAGAATTCCGATTTCGCTCTAGGTTGCAAAGATTTTTTGCAATTATTTCCTGACTTTCATGAAGTGTACAACTAATTTCTAATGTCCCCTAGACAACGACCCAACACAGTATCTAAAAGATTCAACACTACACCTATAGGCAATTCATAACACGCAGACTGCGGACATATTGGCGTCTCCGTGATTGAGCGCTCTTTCGTCCCTCTTACAGTCTGCTGTCTCTCCTATGCACAAACTATCTTCGTTGGACGTAATTGCGTCCAGTCTTTGCGTGTCATGAATCGACGATACCTCGTCTTGTTGTTTTGATTCATTTTTGGAAAAAGATCTTCTGCTAACGAAAATAAAATTCAAGGACGTGGAAACTTATATCTCCAAACTGAAATTTTGCTGTCTGCATCCCTTTGGCATACACAAGAGATGATCTCATAGAATCTCATAAATAAATAAACATATTTTACTATTCTCTGAAACAGACACACATCAAGCAGAAAACAACCCGCGGTAATCAAGTATTCAGGGAAAAAAAGAAAAGTGGAAAAGCGAACACCAAACAAACATACGAATGGAATGTGATGATGGTGGAACTATCAAACATTCCACTTTACAGACACAGATAGATAAGTAGTGGAAATAAGTAAAAAGAAAAAAATAATTATGAAAAGATCAAAATTACGATAAATAGACAAGAGTAATGATCAAAAGCTCATTATGAGCACCACGACTAGATCATTTCGTCGAACCTTGAAAACATTGCATTTGGGCTGAACTGACCAGCAGCTTGGGCTTTTCATGATATATTGACAAAGATCAAACCTGCTCTGAGGTCAATCTTTGACACATGGGCAACTTGCATAATGGATTGAACTTTCTGGCAATGGGCCAAATTAGTGACATGATGTGATAGAAGATTTTTACGGTACATGGTAAGATCAAGGCATTATACATGCAAAAATGTTCAGAACTACAGTAGTCCTCATTCCAAAAGTCATCTTGTGTAATTGCACTACTTTCTAAATATGCACTGCACTTGCAAACGCAAGAGTTTTTTTTATCCACTGTGCAATCGTCTTCTTTTTTAAGGTTTTAATTACTTCACCATTCAGGATAATGATGCCATCGCTATCCATCAAGTCTACAGCAGACTGCTAAAGCAGTGCAATTACACAAGGTAACTGGCTGAATGAGGACTACTGTAGTTAGAAATCACCAAAGTGTATTGCTATTGTGAATAACTAATACCATAAGCGGATAACACAGCAAAAATTGAAACCCTCAAACCATGATGATGTTAACATTCACTCATACTAAACCACATAAGAGCGAAATTGCAAAGAATCTAAATAAAGCCTGTGCCTTTTCCAAACTGATTTCATGAGCTTTTACCCTTTGCTTCAATGAAATTGGGGCTGGAAGGCGACCGCTCGCGTCCGCGCAGTCTGGGTCTCTCTCGTGGGCGTGCTCTTTGATCATTCTCCAGCCCTTAGGTCACGAAGCCCCGCCTTCCAGCCACCAATCCACGTGAAAGGGTAAAATTTCCGATGTGCTGGAAGACCACCCCACCAAACCCCCTTTCAAGCACACGCTGCGACTACAAGAGTACGGCAGAGAAGCTGATAATACTTATGATGATAGGTAGGTGCTAATAAAATTTACTTCTAATTGCAAAAAGTGGAAAAAGCGGCTAAAGAAGAGCCTGCAGATCTAGCGCAGTTGTGCATTCACACCATGTCTGCACAGTATCCACCAAATCCGGGTTTTGCAAATTATAAGACATCGGGGTGGCATCAGCAAATCGCTCGACATCCTTCGCAAATACGTTCTCGTTCATCTGCAGTTACCCGTACACAACGACGACAGAATACCTGAAAAAGGCGGTCATAGGAGTTTGCGGACGAGATTTAATGTTTGCATAATGCTTCCAAAGATAAACCTACTCCACTTGCGAAGCGAAACAACAGCTTTAGTTCCCTCAGTCTTACGTAAATTGTGTGCACGCACAAAGCACTGACATTCCTAGCTAGAGACTGGAGAGAATGAGTAGGGGCAGACATGGTGCTGACACGAAAAGCCATGTGTGTCCATGACACGATGCAAAACCTTGTGCAACACATCATGCCGATTGTGGACCGCTCACAATCAAGACAAACTGCTCTTACGAAAAACTCGTTCAAGTGTCCCCTCTGGGAAGCCTTTATTATGTAGGAACCACTGACCTTTCCGCAACGATGACAATGAATACGTCTATCAACAGCTGATGCAAACTCCGCTCTACATGACTTTGACGTGCAATGAGATGCATCCCGTAGAGACTGCCATCGCACTGGCAGTCGTGTTAACGCCTCTTCCTAGAAAGAAACATGACATTTCACTCTCAATGGACGTCAACTATGACCTCTGCTCTTCGCAGCTAACAAATACTAACCGAATATGACACACTAATGCCGCTTTCGCGCGAAGATGGTCGCTGGTCTATGGCAGCCAGTCGTTCTTCAGATTGACCGGTACCACTGCTATGACCACTGTCAGCCATCGAGTTACCGCAGCACGTCCCTCCTCGACCGAGCTGACATTTCAGCTCAGCAATTCGCTGAATGAGCCAATTAAGTAGGAGTCGTGAATGAAACAGCTGTTCCTCAGTGATATCGATCTGGCTGCGCCATAAATATAAAAAATAATCTTATAAACTCTGAGCGCGATAGCGTTAATTGAGAATGCATAAAAACACCTTGACTCAACGAAGTGCAAATTAGGATAATTACTGAAAATGGACGACAATTATGCGGAATTATAAATAATAAGCCAGTACATGTACACAAAGCACAAGACTATTTTAACATCTGAGATAATGTGCAAAAAAAATTTTCAAAAAAAGAGAAAGAAAAAGAAGGCAAATTTAGAACGCTTACAAAAAACATTGCAATATACCCCCTCCCCTTTTTCATCGCTAACAAATTCTGTAAAAACTCACTATTCGCAACGCAGCTATGTGACTTTCAAGCACTCCAACATGCTCCATCGCTGTCATCACCATATCCGTTGCTGTTTCTCTTGGCAGCAAACCATCGTCAAAACGATTATAGAGCGCATGCCAGACCTTGAACGCTGCAGCTCGAGTTTCGATTCCGGATAACACACCAAATGTCGTTGGCTGAAGTAAGTTATTTATGGCATAAACAACAGCTCAAAAAACGTAGGGAGTTCGGAGTGACCGTAAAAAGCCTAGTTTTACACAAAAAAAACGAAGATAGAACAGATACAGCAAATGATTTCAAAAAGTGAATCTTCCTTGATATTCACAGGAACTTACCTCGTAAAATGGGTTCAAGTAGTCATCTTGACGATGGTCCAAGTATGTCCACAATGACTTTGTTCTCTTCTCTATATGCAAGTCCTAAGAATGTTACAGCAGGTAAGCAGGCAAGGAAAATAGAATTTGAAATTACAAAAAAAAGGAAATGAGGGTTAACCTCTGGTTATACGAGATACTAACCTTTCTATCCTTCTCGCAGTTCCCAATAAAAGTTCCAAACTGACAGGAATAAACATGCTCATGGATATCGATAAGATAACGATCATTGAACTAAAACATTGCGATTTTGATTCCAAGAAAATCAAGAGAGCAAACAGTTTTGAAGAAATGTACTTGAAATGCTCTCGGCCGCTGCTTCATAATCTGATGTACGCAGTCCAAAAACTGAGCAAAAATAGGGGAGATCTAGAATAGAAACCACATAATGAAGGACAGAAAAGAACTGATAAGTCTACCTCTTTAGCTGCTTCATCATTCAAAGCACCAATATGTGCACATCTGTCGTCAAACTTATGACCAAATCCTAGCCAGTCTTTCTCTATCAACACCTAAAAATGTGATTGAATTCCTGAAGCTCAGGTGATGCTGGATTTTAACAAAAAGTGAAGATTATATAAAATAAACACAGAAGATAAAAGTTGAAGATATAGTGAACATAATGTACTAGAGATTAATGTACCTGAAATCCATGGATAGTGCGGAAAAATGGGTCGAGCAATAACTGAGCTATGGATACAGTCTGTGCTGTCCGATCCCAGCCATCGGAGCAATGAACTACACATGAGATACCTGAAAAAAAAACACTGATGTAAAGCACGAACAATCAAAAAGCCTAATGACCCAATATCACTGTATTATAGCCTCATTGTACCTTTTGACTGAACTGAATTGGTGGCTGGAAGGCGGGGCTTCATGACCTAGCTAAGGCTAGAGAATGATCAGAAAGCACTCACGCGAGAGAGACGCAGACTGCGTCGAGGGCGCGAGTGGCCTTAATTAGGACACAAAGTCCCACCTTCCGGGCGCCAATCCAGTGGAATCAAAGATTACCACCACTACAACCATTTAGACAATTAGGGCTACAATCGCAGCATTTTACTGCCTAGTTGTTCACCACAGTATTGATATAGGGGCCTGCAGGATCGCGAGAGTCGGACGTGCGTACGGCCATTGCGCCGCGCACGTCCGATGTCACCAAGGCAAGTGCCAGACTTATCCACTTCAGCCGTTCGTTCCGTTCATAGGTCAAATCACTACACTGTCCAACAGCAAAGGTGGTGAACCGAATGAACCTGTTCAACAGGATAAGTCTGGCACTTACCTGGGCCGTCGCCCGCAGTTCTGACGTGCGCGGCGCAATGGCCGTACGCACGTCCGACTCTCGCGATCCCGCAGGCCCCTATACCCAGCTCCCCCACCAGATGCGTTTATTCAAATGAAACGTGGATCCCTGACGCATTGACATCCTATCAAGGCCATATATAGTATTCTATAGTGTGAGAGCAACATATCCGGATTTTATAGGCTCGTAGAGGGAAATCATCATGTCAGCCTCGAGCTTGGCAGTTCGCTGGATTGGCGCCTGGAAGGCGGGACTTTGTGTCCTAATTAAGGCCAAACAACGTTTTTGAGAGTGAATGTGCATGAGAAAGCTAAAAATATGCGCACAGTGAGTCTAAACTACCAGACTCCCAAATGGATCAAATGACTAACACCAAAAGGAAACTTGAATTGGGATGCCTCATGACAATATTCAAAGGAGTAACAGTAAACTAAAAATGAGTCCGCGTACCTCTCGATATCGACTGAGCTAGGAATGTTCCACAGTCTACTATTGCTCTCAAATGTTTCAACCAGCCAGAAGATTCTAGCGTTCGCAAATATTCGCTCATCGTTCGACATTTATAACATGCTGGAAGATAAAGTTAAAAACAATGAACATGGGAGCTGTAGTCCTGAATAAACATGCAAACCTTCAAGAAGCTTCTGCTGACTTGCTCTCATAACATGGATATTCTCAATATCGAAGAAATGGAATCTCGTATTTGAATAATTTCGTTCATCTTCATAACCTTTTCCCTGTACTCTATTTACCATAGCATTAACCTAAAACATAGAAATCAAATACGATGACAAATTCACAATCAGAATCTCTATTACTAACCATAGGTCGAGTATCAACAAGAAACAACGTGTCGCGATTCTTATTCGCTTTTCCTATCAACTCCATAAGTTTTTCGTCTTCTACACACCGAGCTGAGAAGCCGGTCAGTGGTTGGGCACATCTGAAGAGAGATTGGACTACATTTGCGCAGAAAATCCTGAGAGGCTCTCTCACCTGCAGATAGCTGCACCATTAGGTTTGTAAAAATAAGTTAACACCGGTAACCGTCCTCGAGATCGAAACCGACACGATCCCATTAATGTAGTGGTACTTGCCGCCACCGGCAACCATAATCGTTCCGGATACGTGTCACAGCTCTGAAAAATTCGTGAATGAGAGAAGGGATTCGAAAACTTTGCAAAAGTAAATGTATGCTATACATGTGACATTTTTGCGAAAATGAGGCACATGAAAAGATAGGCTTTTCTATTAGCTCGAATGAATCTGCAGCCCATGCTGACTCGCTTTAAAATGACACTTTGAAAGACCCAAATACTCAATTAAGAGGTCTGATTCAATAAATCGACTATAAATAAGACAAGTCAAGTAAACAAGAGCAAAACAAGAAAATAATCAACAGTGGGAAAGAAAACTGAAAAAACGTGAAAACACTCACGCGATATCCTTTATTGAGATCATTTTCACCCCATTCACTATCTATACCCTGTCGAGTGAACTCCACTGCCCAATCGAGGCGTGACCACCCTCGAGCATCTTCAGCTACGTCTCTGTTCTCGAATGCTACTAATTCGCAGACGTTAACTGAATCGGAACCAATTTATGACAACCAGACAGCCATAAATAGGTCTCACCTGTTTTCGAACATCTAAGTAATGTCTCGTAGAGATCTTGACAGATTTTATCTCTAGATATGAGTAAGTTGATCACCTGAAAAAGAGAACCATAAAAAACAAATTTTTTCAATCTCAAACTAAACAACACCCACCTGAAAATGTTTACAGCGTATAATTAACGGACAACCAGCTGCAGACAATGGTCCACGTTCAACACTTCCAATTAAGCCATTTGCTATCTGTAAGGCAAAGATTAAACGGAAGCACAAAGCAGAAAGTGCTTTCTAATCCCCCGGGACTCATAGGTCACGAAAGAATGACGTGAGTTCAAAAACAAAGCTTATTGGATTACTCGGTGCACAAACATCTTTCCCACTTGTATTTACAATGAAACACACTCTGGGCGCAGTGATAGCAATTAATCAAGATATTTTCCAAAAAATGCGTGATTATGGACATTTCTGATGTAGGGCAGCAACACTTCGTCTTTAAAAAAAAGGAGGAAAATTTCCCGAGTTCGATCGTACACTTGAGCAATAAATTCGCAAGCTATGTCAATTCAAGAATACTGAATTCGATATAGTTTTAGACACCAAGCGAAACCCCAAACATGGCTCATTCTCCCTTTCTTCTATTTGAATTTGGAATCCGTAGAAGCGTACGTGTACGTTAGCAAATAAAGATAAGCGGGTATCTCAAGAAGCAATATAGGCTTCAAGTAGAATCGAGATTGCACTTGAAGATATTGCAGAATCATCAAGCTTTTCGAGCAAACAAAGATTTACAATAAAAAACAGAAAAAGAGATCAGAAGCGAAAGCTCAAATCCAGAACCAAAAAGTTCAAGATCTAACAACTAACAGACTTCTTCATAGCCAATTTCATTCGACCTTGATGAGATAAGCTCAAAGTGAGCGATCCAATTGCCTCCCAAAAGCGACATCAATTTACCAAGCATACCCGCGCATTACTCCACTTGAGCTCGTTTGAATGGGCTCCTGAGGGAGTGATAAATGACCCCGGCAATTTTCGAGGATTTATGGGAAAGCGTAAGAAGTAGCCCACAACAAATTTCACTCGAGTTTATTAAAAGAAGACATATTGTAAAGCAAACTGAAAACGCACCCATAACTCCTTGCTGCCTTCTTCGGAACGAAATATGATATGTGAAGTGGTTACATGCAATGTGCCGACTACATTCGGTTCCACTCCCAAGCGATCGACCAGTTGGACTTTATCCACCTGCAAAAAATGATATTCATATCGACTAAAATCGGACCAAACAATTACAGATGAAATTTCAGTAACTATTTACAAAGTGATTTTTCATCCTATGGTCTCTGCTGTACATCTCCGCGTTCTCATTCCAAAAATTAGTGTTTTACCCCTCAAGATCGTTTATTACCGACAAAGATGGAACTGCAGATTGAAAGATCCCAAGAAAAATCATTGCAACAGAGCTCGCTGATTCCCGAGAGACTGGCTGGAGATTAAGCGCCAACAACATTTAACTCCGCACGTTTGAGTTGTCAAAAAAGTGCTTGGAAAAAAGTACTGAAGCATTTTCTCAGGGATAAGTTTCTGGACTTTTCATCCAGGAGCTGATTATTGTACAAAGCCACTTGCCCAAAATCATTTCATAGGGTTCATCGTAGCAGAGAAAATTAACACTGAACTCTTGCCCATTACCGTACTTGAAGATGCGCACGGCACTGGGAGAGAGTTCAGAATCGAATTTCTCCTACAATGAATCATATGAGTTCAGTTTTGTTGAATGCCTGGTCGAACAGATCTCAACCAGATTCCAAATAAGAACCACATATATGAATCTGCCTTAGCGCTGACTTCAAACATTAGAAAATGCTGTGCTATCTACTCAACGCCATTCCATATAAGTCAATAAAAACCTCATTTTACGGCATAATGACTTCAGCGATAATGACTTTGTTGTTGTTGACTCTGATTACACAGCCGCAGGACTAAAATAGCCGAATAACAAACAAAAATGTGCGAAATTCTTACTCTGCCTTTGAGATACACGGGCATTACTTGATGTGCGAAGACATTGAAGAATTCAAAACTCTCACAAATACGACAATTTCTCGGTTACAAACTCTGCAAAACCGGTTCGTTCGCAGTTCCAGTGGCGTACCCGTCGAATGCAAGACGTAAATCTAATTATTGCCGAGAAGAGGGTGGCTACGCGCCGAAGGAAGCCAACAAGAACTGAGAATGCAGACTTGTGAATGACTTCGTCAAGTGCCGGAAAATTCAATTTTTTGGTGGAACATCTAGCATTCTGTAAAGTATCCAGTTTGTATGAGCCTATCACTTGTGGAAAAAGCAGATTAATGAAGCTAAGCAAGAAAACTAATTATTTTGAAGGTAATCCGTATTTGGCTACAGTTAGCTTCTATCGATTGCAACTATTTTCCAACAATTTGAATTTAGTGCCCAAATTCATAAGCATCTGCGCTATTTGAGAATATATACATTTAATGCACAGATTCATAAGCATCTGAGCTATTTAAAAATATTCAAAACTCAAAATAATTTGTTTGATCGCAATCCAACCCCCCCCCCCCCTCTCCTTTTTCACAACTCCTGTGATCTTTCCCAGAGAAGCCAGATGGCTGTCCTTTATTCGAGTAGAACTCCGAGTTACTTTACACCTGGCTATTGGCTCATAAACTACACAGCGAATCAATTGGTTTAATACCTTGCATTACTCACACACAAATAAACAAAAACGGATTAGGAAGATGAGTGGGATGCCAGCTGATTCCATAAGTGCTCTATTCAATAAAGACTCAAGCCAAAGGGTGAATATTGTACAAATTAGTATAAAAGCTATAGCCTGACAAAGAAACTGAATAGGATTGCAGTTACACTACTGTCGGGGTGATAGTGGTACCTTAAACTTCTGTGGCCGTATTCATCAACGAACCCAGTGGGTTCCGGAACCCACTGGATTCGTTGATGAATACGGCCACTGAAAATCATTATTAGCCCGGTCCATAATTCAATACAATGATGGCATGAATATTTTGATTATCAAAGCACATTCTGCATAATCTATAAAACATTCGAAAAATCGTGATGATGGCGCGACCGCGCGCGACAAGCACGCACCTTCCAGCAACCGCGTTTTCTTGGTTTTGATCTCTACTCGACTGGTTTTTCTGCTTAGGTGTGATAGCGCTTGCATATTCGAAGTGACTGAGCTGAGCATTGAGGTGATGCCTTTTTGTATGAGGGTTCTATGCTGCTGTGGGCGCAGAGACCGCAGTCAAATCCGTCGTTACGATTTTACAAATGAACCCTACACCAGAAAGTTTCACAATGCACACAATTCCCTCGCATCCAAAATGCAAACACATTTGGTAATTGCCTTTTTCTAGTGCTAAAAATGTAATTCGATAGCCTTAGCAGTCCATTTGTTTGCAGCATGGCGTGTATTTGCCTCTCATTCTTACACAATTATCGCGCTTTCATGCTGTTCAGTGAAGCATACACTGGATAGGAAAGCCAAAAAAAGTTAAACCACAGCCATTGAAAGATAGATGAAAGTTCAAAAATCGCATAAAACAAAGGCAGGGCTTACATAAAGATAAAATATTGGTCTGACAGCGTAAAGATTAATGCCCTTACCTCTATAAGAACTCTCCAGCATGACGCCAAGTCCCAATCAGACCATCGTCTCTCGCGTTTCACTATCGACTCATATAGTCCAGAAATTTTATCTCTCAGTAATGACCCAGCCACGGATATATCTTCCGTGTAAGCCGGGTAGGACATATATGTCATACCTCATCAAAGGCTCCTTGAAAAATGGCAACTTAGAGTTGTGGGATACGGTAAGAGCATGGTGAAATTACGGTAAGGTTACCATAGGGATACGGTAAGAGTATGGTGAAAGAGAGCAACAAAATCTTGAAAAAAGAACAAGAATTAAGTTAGGTGAGACATATATGTAAACCCCACCAAAAACCCCTCGAAAAAAATGCAACTTGGTGCTAAGGGATACGGTATGAGTACGATAAAACTACGGTTAAGCTAGGTGGAAAGACAGCAACAAAAGCATGTGAAAATGTCAGCAAGTCTTTGATAAACACATACATCTCATACCCCATCAAGGTCCCTCAAAAGTAGCAACTTAGAACTAAGGGGTACTAGGAGTACGATAGAATTAGGGATACGGTAAGGCATGGTAATGGTGCAGCAGAAGATTGCAAAAATTTACTTCATTCACTCATTTAGTAAGGACAAGCTTTTGATGAGCTAAGCGCCAAAAAATATTTCTTCTCCAGAACCCCTTAGCTCTACATGACCATTTCACTGATTAGATGTCATACCTAATCAACAAATGGTCATATAGAGGGTTCTGGAGAAGTACGGTAAGATTGGTAAAAATACGATAAGGATACGGTGAAACGGTAAGTGAATAGCAATAATGCAATTATGTAAAAAGATTCAGAAAACGAGAAGAGGAAGCCCAAATATACAAAAACTGTTCAGGCTTTGCTAATTTCAAAGCTTTAAGCACACTAAACTTCGACGAGCCGAGCGCACAATATGGCAAACGGGAGAGCTGCTGCGTGTGTGTGATTTGCGTGCATGAGAGTTCTACATTGAGTTTGCCGAGCCAGCCAGACATACATACACTCAACACGGCCACATTTATCGGATGTCAACAAACCAGAGAAAAGAAAGGAAAAGAGCAACATAGCAGCTGAATCTACCAAACACAGCTAAAGCTAATAAGGCTATGACGCTCGAGTTCGATGTCAGGCCGCACTTGAATCTCTAATTAGACGAGAGAAACTCGGACACAACTTCGCTTCTGCATAGTGAATGAGCCAAAGGGGGCAAGAGAATGGTGTGCCCGTTTCAAATGAGGCAGAAGGATTTGCTCGAAAGGGGGGAAGGGAAAGTGCAAATGTCAACGAAGCGCGGAAAAAAGTTCAAAGTCATAAACAAGTATAACGCTGTACCATAAATCACGAAAAATGTTGCATTAGGGACTTTTAAACAAAAATTATTAGACTCCACTAGAAGGATGATTATAGCAGCCTTAAGCTAGAAATCGACAGATAACACCATCTAATGCATGCGAATTTTTTTATAGGGATTGACGCAGTAAGCGACGTCAGAAATTTTTTTGCCAGATTTCCCTAACGAGCTCGATTTCAGGGGATGGAAAAAGGAGAGTCAGTGGAGAATTCTCACATTTCTCAAGACAATCGTTTAGGAAAGAAAAGCATAAACTACAAATTACTTATCTAAAAATGCAACCAGTACTCAGCTAAAAAATTTGTAGCCTGTGTTCTTCTTCCCAAACGATTGTCCTGAGAAATGTAAGAACTTTCCGCTGACTTTCTTTTTCCCCTAAGAAATACCCACAAAACCCTGAATCCAGAAAAAATCTCCGAAAAATCAAGGTTATCACTCCCCCCCCCCACCCCCCCCCCCCACCCCCATCTCCCTTTCCAACTCCTACCGCACCCATTTTTTCACCCTAAATGAATTCGCACAAAGCAATTAGACTTCAGAGAAAACGATGCAAGCCCTATGCTGACGAGCGCTGAGTGGACGACGTCTACGGGAGCGGCGACCGAGGAAAGATTAGCATGAAGAGCCGCCACACCCCATTTGCAGCTTAACATGAAAAAACCCCTCGACCACGCCTAATGCGCTACCAATGGAAAGCTTGGAAACGAAATGAACAATCCATAAGAAATGGAGAAATGTGAACAAAAACTAGATAAAAAAAAGTAAACTCAGAATATGCAAAAGCTTTCAAAACGTTCAAATACGATTACTTACGGAAAGATAAAGTAGTCAAAGATAGAAAAGGTCAAACAATTAAAAAAATCACCAAAACATTCATGAATTTCTTACCATTAAGAGCACTCCTACTGCCTCGTGACCACAGAAATTTGAATGTAACTGACTGACAAAGTACAAGATTGCAGCTACGTAAACAAATTAGGCTTCCAAAACATTACAATCTATTTTGACTATTTTAATGTTATGAGAACCCGTTTTTGAATTTGAAATTTTTTTCCGAAACTCCTAAGAAAATGGCTAAAATGACATATTTCAAGAGGTCGAGATTACTGAGATTCTGAAATAATTTTGAAAATTAGTGTGTTACAGTGGCTAGAGAGTGGAGACGGAAAGAAGATGGTGGAAGGGGGAGGGGTACGACCGATGTTCAAATGAAAAGGTGGCATTGTCAT